TCTGGTTGTAGGAAGGTGCTGGTCAGGTTCTGTAAATACTGATGAAGCCTCCAGAGTTACTCTCAGAGGGCCTTTGTTTCAAGAGTGTCTTCCTGATGAATTGAGTTTCCCAAGGCCGCTCCCTCTGTGGGATGGCTAAGAACTTTGTGCGCCTAAAAGACGGCTAATATCTGTGTCCAACCCTCCCCCCGTTTTTTAACAAAGACCTTGAATTATTGGGAAATTCACATTTATTGTTAAAATCCAAGTTTCTCACCCAGGTGCCATTTCACTTTAAATATTTGTTGATCTCATGATTTGGAAGTATTTGCGAGCACTCCGAGACTTGGATTCCGCCCAGCTTAGCGGACATTTCAGTGGCGTGGAAGTGCCTCTGTCTGCATGGTGCAGTGTGACCCACGTGCGGCTGTGGAATATTGCACTAGTGCGACTGAGGAACTGAATTCTTAATTCGTTCAAATAGTAACATTGTTGGCTGCGTGGCCAGTGGCTGTTGAATTGGACAGCACAGGGTTACGTAACTGGCGGGGGCAGAGGTAATGTGTGTTTCTCAGCTACTCGAGGCCTTCGCTTTTCTAGTTCAGTGGGTTCAGGTGGGGGAATTTGTTACGAAAAATGCTCAGCAGGCCGACTGTGCCATGCACTGTTAAACAGTTTGCTTTTCAGACAAATAAAACCTGGTAAAACTTGAGCTGTTCTCACCAGAGGTGCCTCTTGCGTGAGCTGCAAAGGGTGGGCCGACGGTCATCTTTCAGCAGATTAGCGGGAAGAATATCCTTGGCTGGGCTCAATTGTTCAAAGATTTGTGCACCCTTTTTACAAGAACAGGGACAATTTGTGTTATGACAGTGGCTGACAAAATGTTTAATGAAAGCTGCAATTGGCAGTAACTAAATTCCCTGAGGTTTCTTTCCGCTCCTCTTTGCTACTGAAAGGTGCAGAAATGCTTTTGACAGCATCTGTCCTGCTGACAGATGACTTGTTTTGACAAGAGAATCTGAAACCTTCAACTTCAGGCACATTCAGATGTCCAGCTGGGTGAGGGTTGCTCGTGTTTGTAGAAATAAGTGAGGCCTTTAGATTTGTGTGCATGGCAGCTGCCACCTGAAAGAAAGTCCTCATTAAAGGGTTTTCACTGATTAACTCTTTGTTCTTGAGAACTAAGATGAGAATTCACATCCCTCTCTGTACAGTTCTTGGGCTGAATAAATGTAGTTCATTAATCACTGAAAACTGAGTGTCAGTAAGCATAGTAGTCAAAGGGTCAAAAAAAACACTTTATTTAAAAATTGTTCTGAAGAAAGTAAGCCATTGTTGATAATATTATTCACAATTTCCAAAAGATGGAAACAGCCCAAATGCTCATCTGCTATTGAAATGATAAAATGTGTGTGTGTGCACACGCCTGTACACGCACACACACACACACACACACACGAGTATTATTCAGCCCTGAAAAGGAAAGAAATTCTCACGTATGCTACAACATGGATACACCTTAAGAATAGCATGTGAAGTGAAATAAGCCAGAAACAAAAGGACAGATACTGTATGGTTTCACTTACCAGAGGAACCTAGAGTTGTCACATTTCATAGAGTCAGACAGTCGAGTGGAGGTTGCCAGGCCTGGGTGGGGCACAGGGAGGATGGGGAGTTAGTGTTTAAGAGGAACTAAATTTCAGGGAGAAGATGGAAAAGTTCTAGGGATGGCTGATGCTGATGGTTGCATAACAATGTGAATGTGCATTGAACTGTACACTTAAAAGTGGTTAAGATGGTGCATTTTATGTTATCTGTATTTTACCACAGTAAAACAACATTATGCTGGCAGTTTGTCTTCCTGAAATGAGTAAACAAGAAAATGCCTCTGAGAATTTTATTCCAGATTATAGTTATCAGGGAGAACCTGTAATAATCAAAGCGTAATATGCTAATTAGAGTGGATGTCCTTCTGGATGACCTTCCAGACGAAGCCGGGGCTGCAAGGGAAGCCCTGGGGCTGGAGGGAAGCCGGTGCTGGCCGCTGGGGGAAGGAAGGCCTACTCTTGCATGAATTTCGTGCATCGGGCCTCTAGTACAGTAAATATTTCCCCCATGTCCTTGCCACCCCGGGGCCTGCGCTTCATTAGCTGCCTCCTCTGCAGTCGCTGAGGGCCTCCCAGAGGATGCCCGTTAGAGCCAGTCTCCTCCACACCCCTTGGCTGGTGCACGGCTTTCCTACTGCATCGCAAGTCGAAGGTATCACTTCCAGGCTGACCCAGTGAGAGCTTAAGCTCCATGGACAAATCCATTCATCTTCATCACTGCTTACTGGCTCTTAGGGCTCGAGCCGATGCTGCTTGGCTTTGTGAGAAGACCAGCTTATGGAAGACCCCTTTTCAAGCAGCCTTACATGACTTCATTCCAGAGAGTGTGAAGTGAGGCTGCCAGTGGACTGCCTAAGAGCCAGCCCTGTGACCCAGCTCCCCCCTGGCTACACATATAAGCCAACAACAAGTCACTCGGTTTTGAACCCGATAGCCTCAAGCTGTGGCCTAGGTGAGAGGTTGAAAACTAGTGGCCCCCAGGCCAGATGTGGTTTGCAGATATGTTTTGTTTGGCCCATCTAGGGTTACTTTCTTTTTTTTTTTCTTTTTTTAAGAATTGAAAAGACTTCATGTGAGAATGCAGAGTTTGAGCTTCCTTTAACAATGGAGGAGCCTCATCTGCGCTGGCTTTGGGCAGGCGGGCAGGCACTGCTGTGTCCCTCAGTCCACGCCGGCAGGTGGCTGTCCACATGGCTTGTCTGCCCCCCTCCCTCTTGCCTTTGTGGTTTCTGAGTCTCTGATGTCTCCTCCAGCTCAACACCTTCCATGACCTGTGCTGATGTCAGCTCGTTCCAGCCCCTGTAAACTCTCGTATCTCTAGACACAGACACAGTATTTTACGTCCCCTCGCCCCCTTTATGATAATGTGCTGAAAACAGAAGACAGTTTCAGGCCGTCTGGTCCTTTTTCTGATGTGGGCAAAGTCTCTCCATTTGTGGATTTTCTTTTCCGAGTCTAACCAAGTGCAGACAAGCTCACACTTGACTTCGGTATGTGGTTTTAAAAATTACCACCTTCAGTTTTTTTATAGTAACATAATATCTAGACAAATTGCTTCTCATTCAGGCTATGCCCCGAACATAGATGTGCCATTATTGCACGTGTGGTTTGACTTTCATTTAGATGAATGTCTTGGGTTGGCAGTGAAATGGCTATCAGCTCTAGGCTAGTATTGATTGGAATGTCTCTGGGGTGAGTTTAAAAGGTAGTTGCCACTTTTGTGACATTGTGCCCCTTAAGAGCTAGAGCCAGCCGTGGGCAAACTACGGCCTGTGGGCTGGATCCGACCCGTTTGAAATGAATAAAACTAAAAAAAAAAGACCGTACCCTTTTATGTAATGATGTTTACTTTGAATTTATATTAGTTCACACAAACACTCCATCCATGCTTTTGTTCCGGGCCTCCGGTCCAGTTTAAGAACCCATTGTGGCCCTCGAGTCAAAAAGTTTGCCCACCCCTGAGCTAGACTTTAAATGCATGATGAGTAGCATTGTTAATTGGCAGTAATGCCAATGAGCTCTAATAGCTGAGATGAAAATGTTGACCTCGCTGGCTTCCACAGGACTTGCATATATTGTGGCCAGAGCAAGGTGCACTGTGCAAGAAGGGCTCATTGGACCACATCTCTGTGGCTTCTGTTCCCGTGGATTAATTAACCTACTCTGGGGTGAGGGTGTGATCTGAGGAGCTCCCCTGACCACACAGTTTCCAGCTTGTTGCGTGTCTGCCTCTGTGGGTACAGCTGGGAGTGCAGGGATAGGGATGTGACTGTGAATAATTGTGACAATGCCATCATTTCCAGAAGGCCGCCACATGTGTGGCTTTCATGCCTTTGGTTAGCACCAACCACAGATTTCTTGTGACCGTGGCTCCTCTCTCCTGTGTGCTTGGTTACTCCAATATTTACTGTATTCATTGATAGTAAGAGCACCATGTTGATAGTATAGCTTTGTGATTACAATCTTACAGTGTTCACTTTCTTGAGTCCCTTCAGCTCTGACTAGACCTGTGAGCGATTTTCACTCTTAAGTTGTGCAGACAGAATTTCTCAACCTCTGAATATTACTGTTGACTTGGGGCTTGGTAGGTGGTTGTTGTTAAGGGCTGTTCTGCTCATTGTAGGAGGTCAGCAGCATCCCTGACTTCCACCCTCAGTGCCATAGCCGCCTTCCCTTCCTTGCAGTTGTAACAACTCAAACTGTCTCCAGACATTGCCTGTGTCCTCCCTGAGTGAGAACCAGTGCTTTTAGACAACAAAGGGTCAGCCCTCCACCCGTCTTTTTTCTTTTTTCTTTTTTTTTGCTGTTGCTTGATGGTATTTGATGCGTTAGTAAGACATTGATTAAAAAGCGCCCTTTATTTTTTTATGTTTTTTTTAGGTAGGTATTTAAATTTGTTTTCTTTATTGATTAAGTTTATTACATATGTGTCCTTATCCCCCCATTGTCTCCCCCCCCACACACACACTCATGCCCTCACCCCCCTGGTGTCTGTGTCCATTGGTTAGGCTTACATGCATGCATACAAGTCCTTTGGCTGATCTCTCCCCCTTTAGAACAGCCTTGGCCTTGATAGGGTACAAAGCATGTGGACCAGCACACTCTAATGTAGGCAGCGGGCTGGCTTACCGTAGAATTTCTTTCATGTTGCTACGTGATGAAATGGTATTGATTAAAATTCATTTTAGTTTAGCCAAGCTCAGATGATTTGCGATTTTCACAGGGACATGTTTATGGATGCAAGTGGCAGGAGGTACAGCTATAAAGATCGGTGTCAATAGGTTATTTAAAATAATGTGTGCGATAAGGGCAATGATTTTATTTGGGGGTGGAATAGAAGATTCCTGAATTTTGGGTGTGTGGAAATTTTGATTCAGCTGTTTTTTTTTCTTTCTTTTTCTCTCCCTTTTCCAGAAACCTGAGTTACAACAAACTTTCTGAGATTGACCCTGCAGGTTTTGAGGACTTGCCAAATCTACAGGAAGTGTGAGTGTTTTTCCCCAAACCTCTCGGGGGTTGGAGGGGTGGAGAGCTCCTCGGGAAAACCCTCTCCTACTGCGCAGCATCGCCGGGATTGGGGTCTGAGCTTCTGAGAAGGAGCCTAGTGGTGAGGTTGTGGGAGGCAGGTGTCCTCTTCCCCAGCTCTCCCTCCTGCAGCACCTCTTCCTCCTGGGCTGTCAGTGATGGTGGCAGAGGCCGTAGGTACGGGTTTGCTGGGAATCACAGAACATGTGGGTGCAGGGCGGCCCCTCCCTGTGGGAAGCCCTGTGGACCAGCCGGGTTAGCACACCTGGCTGGTAGTTCCCCACAGTTCCCAGGAAACAAAGTACAGAAGAGCGGCCAGGAGAGGCTTCCCTTTTCTGTCCCCTCTCCAGTCAGAGCTGGGCACGCTGCCCGCGGAGCTCCCGGCCGCTCGTCTCGCAGCGTCCTTTAAAGCAAGCCTCCGTTTTTTTCTTCTTTATAATGTAAAGAATTCTGCTTTAAAAATGGGTGTTAGGATTATCAGGAATTTTACTTCCACAGGGACTTGAGGACACTTTCACATAAATCATGCAGACCCACTGCAGAAAATTTGGAAGCTATAGAAATATGTAAAGACTGATTAATTAAAATGACCAGTATTCTTACCCAGACATAACCATGGTGAGCACTTAGTGAAAAACAGACACCCCTGCACATGGAAGTTTGGAATTAGTCTTAGAGACAGCAGTCATGGCAGCGCCCAGCTACACCTTTGGTGATGCTATCCTCACGCGGACACTACGATTCATAGAAATTATTTTCTTTACAAGAGTTTTCCCCACTTTACAGAAGAGGAAGTGGACCTGGGAGAAGCTAAGTTCACTTGTGCAGTGTTACGTGGTTGGAATATCTGAGAGCTGAACGCAAATCCATTTGATTCCAAATGTTCTGCATTTAACCCTACAGTGGCACCACCTAAATTCCCATGTCCCTCACTAACCCGCACTATTCAACGGATGGTTTTCCAGACAGAAAATCCAGTGTTTGACAGCTTGCATCCTTGCATCTTTCTACACCATCTTCTCATTCTAGGCCAGTGATAGCGAACCTTTTGAGCTCGGCGTGTCAGCATTTTGAAAAACCCTAACTTAACTCTGGTGCCGTGTCACATATAGAAATTTTTTGATATTTGCAACCATAGTAAAACAAAGACTTATCTTTTGGATATTTATTTTATATATTTAAATGCCGTTTAACAAAGAAAAATCAACCAAAAAAATGAGTTTGCGTGTCACAGGTTTGCCATCACTGTTATAGGCCCAAGCATTTCCTCCTCCTCCTCCAGACCCACGCTGGCCTCCAAGTTCAGCCTCTCTCCTCCTCTGCAGATGGCTCTCCCCTCCCCTGAGGTCCCGGTGCATTTGTAGGCATTTGTAGGCATTTGTAGGCAGGACAGCACGGTGAGACCGCCCCTCCTGTGCTCCCTCAGGGCTGTGCCCCCTCTCCTGCCTCTGCTAACACTCGGGAAGGTGGGCCATGCTGGTCATGGTACTGAGCACTGCACTCCGTACGGTCACTCATACTTTCTCCAAGGCACCTCTGTGGCAGCACCACCTTCCCGCGTGTGGGGGTTGTAAAGGCAGGTGGCATCGTATGGGTGCAATACGGTAGAGCAGGAGAAACACACTTCATGGGAGCAGACAGACCTGGGTTGAGGACTGGTCCTGTCCCTCAGCGGACTGTGCCCTGGACAAGGTACGCAGTGCCTCAGCGCCTCCTTTTGCTCTTCCGCAGGGTGGACATGGCTGTGCATTATTGCTGTTACTGCTACTTGGACATGGCGTCCACGTCCTTGTATGTGGGAAGAACTCACTGAAAGTTTTTTCTCTTCTGCTACCTTCTAATCCCATAGCCACTCAAGCCGGGTCCATTGTTAAAAACAAACCCTTGAGGGCCCATAGGTTGAACTGGGACCACCTCTTTCCCTGGTGTCACACTGTGGGGTGGGTGACAAATTCCCCAGTGCCCAGAGCAGTGTAACTTCCCACATAGGGATAATGCCTGGTGGAGGCAGAAAGAGACTGTCGGGAGTGAGGGGTGGGGGAGGATATTGAAGAAAGAAATCATAGTTGACGGACAGCTGCTTCTAAGTGGACTGGCTCAGGGTTTCCCAGGAGCTGTAGGCTCTTCTAACCCTGTGAGCCTGCGAGTGGAAACCTCAGCGAGGGGCACCGCTGGCTGGCGCTGCAGGCGATGGTGTCTTAGCGGTGATTTTATTTTGGAGGCCAGACCACACAACACCGCGGCCAGGCTGAGAGAAGTGAGCCTGCTGGAGGCCCCTGGGGGCCATGAGGACATTTGTGCAGCTGCTGCGGGCCCCACGGCTTCACCACCCACAGCTCGGAGGAAAGCCCACCAGGAGGGCCTCTGCCAGGGTCCTGGTGGCCGGGCTTCTCTGTTAATAAGGGGCTATTTATACCGTCTCCGAAACTGCGCTGGCATCGCATTACTGCCGCCCGCCCGCCCGAGAAGGCTGTGTGGGGTGCTGCCTGTGCTTTCCCGGGCCCTTGACCTGCTAGTAAAATGTTCCCGCAGGCCCGGGCGGCGAGGGGGCCCCGCCTGGGGGTGTTTGCTCCCCAGTGTGTGCGGCGCTGAGGGGAGGGCTGGAATAACGAGGGTGTAAATCACCACCACCCATTAAGCATTTACTCTGTGTCTGGCTCTGTCCTAAGGTGTTAGGTTTAATTATTCCAGCTGGATCCTGCCCAAAACCTATGCAGTTGGTAAAGTCCCCTCCTAATAGCCCTGCTGCCCTCACAGCGGCTGGGCTCCTGCCTTAAGGCAGCACCTGCCTCGGTGGCGGGTCTTTCATGAGCCCTGCAGGTGACGGCCGGCCCAGAGCCCGCACAGGGAGCACCGCCTGACGTGAGCTTCACAGTGAAGGTTCACGATGCTGACACGTCTCTGGCCATGTGGTGCGTAAACTGTGTGCCATACAGTCTTGCCAGTTATATTTACTATGCCGTATTCTCAGGTGCCTAAAAGCACTAATAATAATGGTTATTGATTAAGCGACCCTGATCCCAAAACCTATGCTCCTACTTATTATTTATGACTTTTAGGAAACAAGATAACTGAAGTCCCAACTCCCTGCCCAATTTTGACTATTATTAATTGCAGCTCTCTTTGTGTTTGGAAACAACTGAAGTGTCTGAATAGTGGAATGCCTAAATAAATTAATGGGTCATCCATGCTGCTCATGCCAGCGGAGGAGTGCTCTGCAGCGTGTTAAAAGAGTGATGGAGGCTTTAAGATACACGACTAAGGGAGAAACGGGCAGAACCGTCTCTGTAAGACACAGCATCTGTGTACAAGGAAAGCATTGCTCCTGGTGGCGGGCAGTGGGAGCTTCCTAGAGGCAGACCGTAGGACCAAATGAAGGGAGCTTTATTTTTAACTGTATATTCCTGGTATTCTCTTTTGAAAGGGGTTGAAAATTTTATTGTGTGCTTATATCAGCTGTTCAGTAAATAAACAAATTAATTAAACAAAAAACAAGAAAAACTCCAAAGCTCTGTTACCCAAAGTTATTCCTTGGGTTTTTTATTGTTGGTTGAAGTCTGAGTTGATGGGGTGATAATAAAGTACTCTAAAGTGGCTTTCTCCCCAACATTGGAAAAACTTCTTTAACCAAGTCAAGTAAATGGAAGCTTTGGAAACAGCTGAGGGTATGAAGGCTGGAACTAGGGAAGTCCCACGTGTCGGTGCTCCCTGGGGCCGGGTGGCCCCTCTACCCATTTGCCTTAGTCACACTCTCCCAGCTCAGGGTTGGCACGGTGCCGAGTCATGGTCCGGAATCATTAGGAAAAGATTCAGTTATAGAAGCCAGACATAGTAGGGGATTGTTAGGGCCTTGGATGGAAGCGGAATAGGGGGCAGAGGGTAAAGGGCAGAAGACCACAGTTCTAGAGTTCAGAAGATTTCGTTAAACACAGTCTTCAATCTCTGCAGTCTCCTTCCTGGCAGAGACTGTGCGGGCCTCCCCAGGGCCCTCTCCCTGCGGGCCTGAGGGGCTATTTTTGACCAGTCTCTATTTCAGTCTGGCAAGCGGGTCGTGTCACAGAGCCAGTTTGGCCTCCGCTGCCTTCTGCGGGTAGTATTCTTGTTTCAACAGGGAACAGGGCGGGCAAAGAAAGCCCTACTGTGGAGCTAACAGACATTCATCTAGCTAGAGGTTCTTTTTCAGAGTCGTGATTGGGAAGGAAGCTGGCCACCACCTGTCCTTCTAAATCAGGCAGCCTTGTAGATGAGAGCCGGGAGTCCTGCTCCGCCTGTTGGCCCTGGGCTGCCCCCACCCCCCCAAATGCCCGTTTATCTTTAGCACTGGTCAGCGCACCTGTGCACTCCGCTTCCAGCAGTTTTGTCAAGACGCGAACTTTTTATCATGATGCCCCTTTTCCTTGTTCACTTATTTCTGTGAACTTGGGGGAAGCAGCTGATTGTGTGCAGGAGGCTTCCTGAGACCAGGCTTGGTCAGCAGAAGTTCCCCTGCAGGGAAGCCCACCCTGTTTGATTCACGTTCAAAGTCATGTCAGACCCTAAGCTGAAACAACTACCATGTCTGTTGGGGGAGTAGGAGCTCTCCATTCGCTGGCCTTTTCCCTGTTGTCTCCTCCGACTTGCAATTGCACTTGGGTCCAGCTCTTATCTATGACCCTGGGGTAGTGACTTGAACTGAAACCTGAGCTGGAGAACTTACCTGTAAGGCAGGGACTAGTGATAGAACCTGGAACCTAACTCGGGGTTGTGATGATGAAGTTACCTAATGCATGTGGCGTGGTTGCCTTAAGTTATAAAGAAATAGAGGGTGATGGTTAGGAATCTAGAGTTTGGGGTTAGATTAGCTGTGGGCAAACTACAGCCCGCGGGCCGTATCCGGCCCGTTTGAAATGAATTAAAAAAAAAAAAAAAAAAAAAAAAGACCGTACCCTTTTATGTAATGATGTTTACTTTGAATTTATATTAGTTCACACAAACACTCCATCCATGCTTTTGTTCCGGCCCTCCGGTCCAGTTTAAGAACCCATTGTGGCCCTCGAGTCAAAAAGTTTGCCCACCCCTGGGTTAGATTCTTGGGGCCACTGGCACTTCTCATGCCCATCCTCAAGTTATTTCATATCTCAGTGTTTCAGTGTCCTCGTCCTCATTGGCACAATAAAAATGTTCCTGGGAGCTACCCCTAGGGGTCTAAAGGTGAGTTAGTGCATTGGTGAGCTCTCAGAGCTGTGTCTGGCACACAGTAAGCCCTCCATAAGTTGGCTGCTGCTATTAAATTGCTGTTACCACCATCATCTGAGAGTCCGTAAGCAGGCTGCTCTGACAAGATCTGAGGGTCTCCTTTAGTAATAAGTGCATTGATGGTACTGTAACATTTATTAGTAGATTCAGACGATGGGAGACTGTTCAGTATCTTTGTACCAACATGCGAAACGGATGACTGCAGGGCTGGAGGAGAGAGAGTGAAGCAGAAACCAGCTGATTTAGGGGAGTCAGATAAGAAATTGTTAAAGTGATTGATTGTCCACTTCAGCACACAGATGAGGGCCCTTTAAGAGGAGAAAGGATTTGCCACATGATAAGATCTGCTTCCTCTCTCCCACCCAGATGCTTCAGTCTGAAGCCATTGAAGCAGACATGCTGTGTCCCATGGCCCAGTAATTGCCAGGCTTCCTCTCTAACTGGCTTTGGCCTGAAGAACGGCAGTGGGACAGTTCAAGGCCATTTTCTTTCTTTTTTTTTTCTTTTCTATTCATTTCTATACAAGATGGCACATAGTCAGATTTTTCCATTCAAGCCAATGCCAGCTGTATGCCTTGTCTAACTACAGCTGGATTTTAGCGGCCTCGTCTTCAAACAGTGACAAGATGGCCTATATAGGACAAACTCCCTTAAAAAAAATGAGACTAAGATAACCCAGCTTTACCCTTCTTGATTCTGCATCTCAGATACAATTTCTTTTCAGCCTGTCACTGGCAGAAAGCCTGACCACTGTGCTTTGGCTTTCTCAAGGATTTGGGACTCACTTCACAAGTGTGATTTTGGATTCTCTTCCCAGATTTGGAAATACATGTCCATGTAAGGAGGAGGATCGCAGCCTCTGGGGGCAGCCTGGGTGAGCTGTGTTTTGGTTTGCAGGCTTCCCCTTCCATTGAAAGATGTGAACTTTGGAAATACAGATTTACATGTTTCAGCAGAAAGGGAGGTTGGACAGAGAGCAGCTCTGGTCTGTGGAGAATTTTCAAAATGTCCGCATGCACAGATGTGTCTGTGTACATACTCCTGGGAAATGTGTATGTATGTATGTACTCCTGGGAATGTACTTGGAGGCTTCATCAGAGTTCAGAGAAGCTGAGATCGTAACTAGATGAGAGTCTCCAAGCCCAGTACCCTCATTATCGCACAGACGAGGCATCAGAATCATGCCCCCGTGTCCATGCCGCTGCGACCTTCACACGCGTGTGTCTCCGGCTCTGGGTCCCAGCGTGTTGCCTTCTGGCGAGGGCAGAGCAACAGTTTGCAGACCACTGTGTCACAGACCTGTGACAACATCCAAGAGGGGATGCTCTTTCCTCCTCAGATCCTCCCTGACTGTCTTAGTCCACAGGGAACACGGCCCTGGTGGTCATGGGCTCCTCTGTCCGCACCGTGCGTCTGCCCGAGTCACTATTCCTTTCTGTTAGTCTTGATTTCTGAGTTAGATTGGCAGCTCCTGGAACAGAAGAGACACTCCCTGAGTGTTATTTCTAAACGATGGATGTGATAGGCAGTATTTGTGACCTCACAGACTTAGCTCCCTCTAAGAACTTGCTTTAAAATTTTTCATCTAATATTCAGAATTCCATGGTAACTGATCACTGTTTTCTGATTGCCCTTGTTAGTACATGATTTGAAACTACTAATTTAAACAACACAAGTGATTGTTTTTTGTATGTTGTTACAGGTATCTCAATAACAACGAGTTGACAGCCATACCGTCCCTCGGTGCTGCTTCCTCGCACATCATGTCTCTCTTTCTGTAAGTGATGCATTGGGGCCTGGCTGGGTGTAAGGCTGTGGTGTTACCTAGCTGACATTCAGTGGTGGGAAACTATTTGCTGGTAAAGAACAGCTTTTCTGCTGGTAGCCCTAATGATTATGACAGATGCCTTGCTTGCTGTTTTAGGATTTATAAGAATTAAAACCTGAGTTCTACCTCATCTCTAATTTGGGGAGAAATTAGTTTCTTTAATGCCCAGAGGTTCATGGAATTAAACTTTTTGGTCCTAGAGGTGAAGCCACTGTTGGGTGAGTACACTGGTTAGAGGAAGCTGTGTGTCACATACTGCGAGCTCACCTTGGTGCAGTGAACTTGGGAACGTGGTTCAGCTCACTTTTATGGCTTTAGAAAAGAAAGTACCCAGACCCTGAAATCAACATGAAAGTAAGGAATTAGCTGTTGTCGGGTGTGGGGCAGCGGGCAGCCTGCTGATTATTGTAGACAGCACACTGGGAAAGAACTGGTACAAAGGGCCCTGAATGAGGAGGAACGGAAGGAGGCCCCGGGGCTGCTGTTGGAGCGGCTGAGACCTCTGCCCCCCTTCAGCCAGAGGGCGGGGCTGGTTTTGAACACACCCAGAAATCTTTCTGGATAAACCCCACGTGACCCAACAACTTTCTCCACCAGATCTCGGCAGGTTCAGCAGAGAACCTCGCTCTGCAGGATGCGTTTCCTGTTTCCCGCCAGCCCTGCATATTTTTGTTTGATTTTGATTTTGCTGGCGTTGTAATTCGTTTGCTCACCTGTATGTGTCTTGACACCGTGGCTTGGCAGACTGAGCACAGGGACTTGGCAGGAAGGCGCCATCGGGCGATGCGGGTGTAGCGTGCACATCTCCGGCTTCTGCTGGCAGCAGGCCCTGTGTTCAGGAGGTGCCCCAGCCTTGTGCACCACCGCCTAGTCTTCACTCTTTCAAGACCCTGGGTGTGGAACAGGGCTAGAGTTTTGACCCAGCTCTGTGTCCTGGACAACGTCATCTCTTTGAACCTCATTTACAGAATGTGTCCTTGATCTGTTTTACACACCGGGCACATGAGGCCAAGCCAGAGGGGAGTGGAATGTCCGTGAAACTCCTGGCTTTGTGCACAACACAGTAGGTTTGACAGATGGCGGCTGCTGCTTCTCGCTGGTGGCTAGTTGTCACATGGCCCCATGTCTGGCAGGAGCTCACCTTTGGGCCACAGGATGTGTGGGCCAGTCCTGTCCCAGGGAAGGGCAGGAATGAAGGCTGTGGCCCTTTGCCCCTGACAAAGGTCCGACTCTTCTTTTTGTCCCCTTTAGCCTGAGTGCCCAGTGTCTGGAAGGCATTCAATTGCTGCTGAAGTTAAATAAGTTTCTCCTCTCTGTGGCTCTCCTGTTCATAGAGCAGAGCAGTGGAAGATGCTGCTTAAAGTGTGATCATCATTCTATGTAGTAAAAGGTCACCAGTTTGATTCGGTCAGGGCACATGCCGGGGTTGTGGGCTTGATCCCCAGTAGGGGGTGTGCTGGAGGCAGCCAGTTAATGTTTCTCACATCAGTGTTTCCCTCTGTCTCCGTGTCCCTCTCTCTCTTAAAAAAAGCGAAGTATGGTTTCTGGATCAACAGTGTCATCAGTGCCAAGCTCCTTAGAAATCCAGAGTCTCAGGCCTCATCCCAGCCCTCCTGGGTCAGAAGCCACTTTGACAAGGTCTCTTGGTCATTTGCCCACTCATTCAAGGTCAGAAGCACTGTCTCCACGCCGCTTGCTCCTGGCGTGGTGGGAAGCCAGGGCCACAGAGAACACCTTTGTGTTACCAACAGGAAACTGAGGCCCCCTGAGTTCCTGAAAGCTGCAAAACTGAGTGGTGGAACTGAGACTGCCCTCAAATGCCTGTTCTGCCCCCATGCACTGGTTGCAGGAGTGTGGCAGCAGGTGACTCTGAACCACCTCAGGCCAGAGATGGGCAGGACCACCCCCCCCACCCCCACCCGGGCCTGTGTATCACGCCTTGCTCTGCTGACTAAAAATACATTTCTGTTTCTTGGCCCAAGTGCCAGGAGCAGTGGGGCCGGTTGGCCTTGTTCCTGCTATTCCATTAGACGGCGTTAAAATATGTAAAGGGGTGTGTGTGTGTGTGTGTGTGTGTGTGTGGGTGTGTGTGCGTGTGTGTGTGTGTGAGGAGTCCCTCTGGTTTTGATTGAGTTTGGAAAATGCAGGTTGCGTTGGCAGCCACCTCTCTGGCCCGAAGCTGGTGTCCATCGGACTGGGCCAGTGATTTCTCCGAAACTGCAGAATTGGACGGTCTCTACCTGCTTTTCTCTGAGGGTCTTGTGTCCCCTGCTTTTGGACGGGTGCCTGGATGTTGTCCTGCAAAGTTAGGTTAGCCGCATGGCGCCTGGGAAGCAGGATCATCCATCGTTTTGCTGTCACCCTGTATTTCCCAAGTGCGCCCGGCAGAGGACGGCCCTTGGTGGGTGTTTCTTTCCTCCCTGACGCGGGAAGGCAAAGCGCCGGGCATCTCTGCCACATGGTGACTCCAACCATAGGCTTCGAAGACCATGTTTTACTGACGTGTCTGGGTTTTCAGAACCGTAGAAGCAAAAGGTGTCACGTGTTCAACAGTCTTTTTGTCTGCACTTCTGTGCCTCTGCAGTTGGGGCCCAGGGGCAGGCAAAGGGCGACTTGGAGAGGATTCAGCGCCATCCCGTGTGGGCAGCCCCTGATACGTCTGAAAATGTGTGGGTCAGTGAGCTCAGTCAGTGTTCGCACTGACAGTCCTTAATCTCCAGATTCTCACTCCTGTCTCCTCTCCCCTGGGGGGCAGGCAGAAGGTGAGAATAGTAATAACCACGTGCAAAGGGACTCGATGGTCGAGGCCGTCACAGTCAGAGGGACCAGGACAACTTGTTAGGACAGGTGTACCGCTGACCCTTGAACCCCAGGTGTAAACTGCAGATCCACTTATATGTAGATTCTTTTCAGAGAGCAGTCAGCCCTCCATATCTGCTGGTTTTCCATCTATGGGTTCTCCAACTGCAGATCAAAGACAGTATTTTCGGTCTGCTGTTGGGGATCCGAAAATGTGGAGGGCTGACTCAGCATTGATCTCTGCGTTTTATATCAGGGACTTGAGCATCTTTGGGTTTTGGTATCTGTGGGGAGTCCTGGAACCGATTCTCTGTGGACACCTAGGGGTGACTGTAGCTCTACGTAGGTTTTCAACTGCATGGTGGCGGAGCTTGGTGTTCCCTCACCCCTGCATTGTTCAAGGGTTGACAGGCAGGTGCATTAGGGAAAAGGGTGGACTGGGCACATATCCAGCTCTGTTTCCAATGATGTGACCTGGGACAGATAACTTCAGTCTCGTTTGCTGAATGAAGGCTGCAACACAGTTTTCAAATTTCTTCTGTGACTTGGAAACAAGAGTCGGGCAATGATGTCACAAAAGAAATACTACGGAGCTGGCTGACTTGTAGCCACCTTCGCTGCTTCCTGGTGCTCAGCTCAGACACCTTTGCTGTGGGAGTCAGCTCTTCACTCTGTGCTCAGTTTCCTGCCCTGAGTCTGAGCTCCCTGCTCCCGGCACCAGGGTCCCCTTCGCTGGGTCAGAGTTGGGAGGGCCTCATGGGAATAGGGTGTGTTTTGCCTCTGGCTTTACTCTCAGGGCTTCAAGTCAGTTTTTCACTATCTGGGGGAACTGGAGTCATTCAATGAAATTTCAGTTGGTTACTACGTTCTGATCAAAGGAATCTAATGCAGTTGAAGTGTTTGTCACAGAGCAGATTTATTTCCTGTGTTCTGAGGACAATCGAAGCCATTTGTCCTTAATGACAGAAAAGCACTGAACTCAAGGACAGCTTTTCATAGGATTGGGTTGGAGTAGGGAGATAGTTCTCAGAAAAAGCAACAGACTTTTGTTAAGTGGGGGAAGAATCTGCCATTAGATTTTCATTTGAGAATTGTTTTTTAATTTGAAGTCTAGGAAACTCAGATTACGATTCCCAAGGCAACAGACGTTTTGTGTGATGCAGGAGCGGCATTTCCGGGGAAGGAAAATGCCCGCTTTCCCTGTGGCATTGCTGCGCTGTGGTGTTGAGAAGGTTGGTCACAGAGGAGGTGGTTTTCAGCCCTGGGAGTCGGAAGCTGCGGAGACGGGACCTCAGCCTGCATCAGCAGCTTGGTCACCGCCTGGCGTTGGAGCCTTTCCCATGCGGCGCCTGGCCGCGTCCATGAACTTCCAGGTGCTGGTGCGTTTCAGGCCTGTCTTCACCGTGGCCTGTTCACTGTCTCTGCCTTTGGCCCAGAGCAACTAGGGGTCTAGGCAGGGTCTCTTTGCACACAGATACTTGTAACTTTGCAATAGTCCTATTAAAATTCCGTAGGTTTATATTGTACGTGAAAGCACATCAAAATACCTCTTCTAATCTTGGGGGAAAAAATTGAAAACCATTTTTTATTGAGATAAAACATAACATAAAACAACATTTTAAAATTTTAAAGTGCATAGTTCAACGACTTTTAGTACATTCTCCAGGTTGTGCAATCATCACTGCTATCTAATTCCAGAATGTTGTCATCACCCCAAAACCAAGCCCATGCTCTGTGAGCAATCACTTCCCCTCCCCCTCCCCTCTAGTCCCCTGGAAACCACTAACCGGAAACCATTTTTTTTTTAAAGGGAAGTATTTTTCTCTTGTGTTAGCGAATAGACCTGGGAGACTTAGGATATACATAATTAAATAAAAGTATCAGAGGTAGATTTGACCACACAGTTATATGTTTTCTTGTGATCTCTTAGCTGAAGAAAAACTGACTAAATAAAAGTGATGGAATATCTAACATCTCATTATTGTAACTTCTGGAGAGTAGAACCTAGAAGGAATGAAACCTGGTGTCCTGTCTGTGACCCCACTCGGAGCTGCGGGTGGAGTTGACTGGGCCGGAGGCTGTGAAGGATGGAGGCCCTTCCTGGCTCTGTTGGGAAGTAAAATCAATAACAACCCTTAACTCCCCGTGGG